GGGGGGGGGCGCACGTCACAAGAACGGACTGGAGCGGGGTTTCTCCGCCGCAGCACTATTCACATTTGGGACTGTGAGTTCTTCATTGTGGGGCTGTCCTGTCCGTTGTGGGATGTTTAACCGCGTCCCCTGGACTCTGCCCACTACATGTCGTTAGCATCTCCCTACGTGGTAACATTCAAGCACGTCTCCAGGCATGGCCAGGTGTCCTCAGGGGCCCTGGCTGAGAACCGCTGCCTCAGGGACGCCTCCAAGGCCAGAGGAGACAGAGGAGGCCCAGCTGAGCCGGGGCCTTCCAACCCTGCATGGCCTAGTCCCAGTCGGCTCCAGCCCCTCAAGCAGAAACCCACGGACCCTAGAATCTTCGGGCTTAGAGAATGTAACAGCAATTATTAAACCTCCTGGCAGCACAGCCACAGTTTGCACACCTCCACTGATGGGGAGCTCACCCCACTAGAAGGAACTCCCTGGCCCCCAGCCCTTGGAAGAGTTATGTCTTCGTGCCTTGGGTAAACATTAGGCTGCATCCTACCAGTCCTGCCTCAGGCATACTGAGGTGGCAGTAGGGGATGGCAATCTTTGAGTTTGAGGAGTCTGTTATTTCACATTCAAGAGTATAATTCAACTGGTGGCAAGCCATGGGACCAAAAAGAATGAAGTGAAGGACCCCCCACAACAGACAGCTGTGCATACTTCAGAGCCAGGAGGCCTGGTCCCCCCATGGGTTACATACTTCAGATGAATCCAAAGTCCAGACCCAAGGCCTTGCGGGGAGAAGAATCGGCACCACCCTCCTCTCTTGTCCCACATTCCAGTCCCACTGCCTCCCTCTACCTCCTGGAGCAGGTCTCGTCCCTCCTGCCACCGTGGGCCACAGGCTGTGCTCTGAGCTGCTCCACAGCAGCCAGGGCTGAGTAGAGCAGCCCCAATCCTCCTGGGGCCAGTTTAGGGCAGAACCGGAAGGTACCCGGGTGACATCTCAGCCCCCATTCCAATCTTCTACCCACAGAAAGAGCCACTGAAGGGAATCAAGGAAACAAAGGGCCAACAAAGATCAAATAACACTTCCCCAGCGGGGCCTGGAGGTCCTTCATGGGAGCAGGTCCTTGCTCAGCGAAGACATTCCCACATTCCAGAGGACCGGGGCTGGGAGGGCCTCCAGATGCACAGCACCCAGCCTCCCGGGGTTACAAAATGGGGAGATTATGGCCCAGAGAGGGCAAGACACTTGCCCAAGATCACACAGCAAGCCAGCGGTGGAGCAGGAACTAACATCATCCCTTCACTCCCAGCTCTGTGCTGTCAGCCCAAGGGCCTCTCTCACACCCCTCCCTCCTGGCTCGCCCACCTTTGGGTGCCTGGGCTCAGCCCCACTCCTCCCACTCAACAGTTTCAGCCCCAGACCCACCTGGAGGGGTCCTCCTCGGGGGAGAATGGGCCCTGCAGCTTAATGACGTTGAGCTTCCCCTCAAAGACGCCGTAGCTGAGGGTGACCTGGGCAGGGAGAAGCAGAGAAGAGGGGGGAGGGTTGAGGGGTGCTCCATGGGGACCCCACAAGGGGGAAGAATTGGGGGGAAGCAGGAAGGCACAGGAGGCATTTTGAGGGCTCAGAGAGCCTGCCTCTGCACCTGAAACCCCATTAGCAGAGGGTGCGTCTCTGAGGAGCCCCCCCCAACCCCCCCAGCACTCTAAGTGTGAAGCGCACCGTCAGGCCCAAATCCCACTGCAGCCCCAGCAGTCCTGCTCACGAGGAGGCTGCACCAATTCCCTCACCCACAGGTTGGGAAACTGAGGCCCGAGAGGAAGGCATCTTTCCAGTACGCTGTGTGCCGGGTGGAGGTTTCCCGAGGCTCACTGTGGGGCCCCAGCAGATCCCCCTCCACACCCAGAGCCTCCGGTTCCCCGCAAGCAGCAGGGACTCGGGGTCACGACCCCAGTCCAAGGCTGTCGAGGGCAGTGGCTATCGACTGTCAGCTTTGGGGCCACCCCCCCAGGGCTCAGACCCCCCTCTGCCGTGTACTATTGAGGCCACGGCTAGTTCCGCTCTCTGGGCCTCAGTTTCTCCATCTGTGGGGTGGAGATGTTAGCACCAACCTCCTGTGCGTGTTGTGAGAAACCAGGGAGTCAAAGAAGATCAGACCCCAGTGTGGTGCCCGGTATAGGGTGCGTCTCTGAGGAGCCATTCGGGTGCCCTGGTTACCCCATTCGGGTGCCCCGGTTTGGTTGCCTCAAATCTGCCCCCCTTTCCTGGCTTCAGGCCCTGAGGTGCTAATGGGACCAACCCCACAGCCAGCTCCAGGCCTAGTGACCTACACTAACTCTGGGCGCTGACAGGAGACCCGTCACAGGACCCAAGCGGGCCGCCTGACCAGTGAGCGCAGCCTTGGGGTCTGCGGAAGGAGGCACCCTCCTCCTCCAGGGGAGAGAGACCTGGGCGGCCAGCGTGCCAGCAAGGGGGCGACCTGCCTGAGAAGCGGGCCAGCGTGGGGGAAGGCGGGTGAACAAGGGAACAGACCCCTAGAGCCAGGCT